CAGAGACGTCTGCGAGGCTATGGAATACCTGGAGGGCAACAACTTTGTGCACCGGGACCTGGCTGCCCGAAACGTGCTGGTGTCTGAGGACAACGTGGCCAAGGTCAGCGACTTTGGCCTCACCAAGGAGGCCTCCAGCACCCAGGACACAGGCAAGCTGCCAGTCAAGTGGACAGCCCCTGAGGCCCTGAGAGAGAAGGTGGGTGGGCCTCCCCCGTGTTCTGAGCAGTGGTGGACAAGGGTCCTGGGTTACCCACCCCCAGATTCCCAGCGTCTGACCCAGCTTTTCCCTTCTCCATGGTAGAAATTCTCCACCAAGTCTGACGTATGGAGTTTTGGAATTCTTCTCTGGGAAATCTACTCCTTCGGGCGAGTGCCTTATCCAAGAATTGTGAGTGTGGGCGCTGGGTCGGAGCACGGCTGGGGCTGTGGGAGGGGCGGGCGGGGGGGAAGGGCCTCCCTGGGACCTGCCTCCCTGGTCTGAGGCCTGGACGTCGCAGGCTTGCCCTCAGGACCTTCCTGACCTGAGTCTGAGGCAGAGCTGAAGGGGATCCCCCAAGGGGGATGTTGAGTAGGGGTCCCCTCCTGGGTCAGGCCCTGCACAGACTCATACCAGCCATCTGCCCTCAGCCCCTGAAGGATGTCGTCCCTCGGGTGGAGAAGGGCTACAAGATGGACGCCCCCGACGGCTGCCCGCCGGCCGTCTACGAGGTGATGAAGAACTGCTGGCAGCTGGATGCCGCCTCGAGGCCCTCCTTCCTGCAGCTGCGGGAGCAGCTCCAGCACATCAAAGCCCGAGAGCTGCACCTGTGATGGCCAAGCACCCAGGTCATGGGCCTTGGGTGCCGAACTTGGAGAGACGGGCCTCGTGCCCCCACCCAGTGGGCCCCGGCCTGAACTGAGCCCGGTGGGCCTCTTTCCTCTGTCCCAGCCTGTGCCCCCTCCGGCCCGTCTGGGGACCCCACCTAGGCCTGGCAGCTTCTCTCAAGGACCCACCTGTGGGGCTCAGGGAGCCCCCACTGAAAGGCCGAGAAGCGAGGAGGCTGAGGAGCCGGAGGCAGACAGACAGCCCCACCACGGTCAGGCCTCCCCTGGCCTCCTGCCTCTCACTTTCCTAGAGTTTTATTCCTTTCCTTTTTTGAGGGTTTTTTTCCCATGTGCTTATTTTTTATTATTTTTCAAGATAAGAAGAAAGAAAGTACCCAGAAAATGGGCATTTTACAAGAAGTACGAATCTTATTTTTCCTGTCCTCCCCATGAGGGTTGGGGAAACCAGGCCCCTGTCCAGGGACCCTTTGCCTGGCCTCGTTCCGTGTTCCGTGTCCCGTGTCTCCTCGGTCGCCCCATGTTTGCGCTTGACCACGTTGCACTGTTTGCATGCGCCCGAGGCAGATGTCTGTCAGGGGCTTGGAGCTCGTGTGTGCTGCCACCACCTGCCTTGTGAGATGGAATCATAATAAACCACTCCATGAGGACACTGCGGCCCGGCCTCGGCACTTCCTCCGCCGAGCCCGCCTGCCTCCCATCCCCCACCCCTGTGCCATCTTGTCCATCCCCCTGTCTCTGTGAGTGGGGCTGTGCTTGCCCTGTGAGTGGAGCGGGGTGGGGAGCACGGCCGGGAGAGGTGGCCGCCGCTTTGTGTCAGCTGCACCAGCAAGTGTCCTGTGTCTGCCGTGGGAGCTCTTTCCACCCGCCCTCCCCCACCATTCTGTGCTGGTCCGGCCTTGGCCCAGGCACCACCCGGGTGCTAGGGCCCTGTCCGCAGGATAATGCCCAGGCTCCCGGCCGCCTCTCCTACTGTGTGTCGTTCAAGCCAGCAGCACAAGGAGGATGGAAGCCAAGGAAGGGGTGGGGGAAATCCAGGCCTGATGCGACCGATGGAGACGGGTAGGAGGCAGGAGGTGAAGTAAATGTCTCAAGAGAAGATAACCCTGGAGGGAGAGGGGAGGGAGGCTCTAAGCTGTTGGTGGTTCTGACCGCTCACCTGCGACGTAAGAGCACTGCCCTCCCCCACCCTGCCTCAGTCCCAGTCCTGTGCCTGAGAATGCGAACAAGGGCATCTCGGTGGTGCAGGTGGAGAGTGAGGACCAGCCCTGGCATTTTGTCCCCTCAGGTTCCTCGGAGCAGTGGTCGGGGCAGTAGTCAGTGCAGACCGTCAGGGTCGGGAGAGGCTCACCTTATGCACTGAGGCAGCTGGGGGGTCCCCTTGTCCACTTGGGGCGCTGACCCTGCTCTGATCAGCAGGGCCTGAAACCTGGGGCATCCTGACTGCAGGGTGCCTGTGCCAGCAGGGCAGTGTGGCCGACACCAGGTCCCACCCCCGCCCCGCGCAGCTCCCCTTGCCTCTCCCAGTCTGTCCTCTGCACACAGACACACTCATTGTGCTAGGACTGGGGTTCAGTAGTGAGCAAAATAGACCGTGTGAAGTTCACAGTTGAGACAATCACAAAGACAGAAAACTGGTAAGTGCTAAGAAAGAAACATGTATGCGATGGGAATCAGGTCTTGTCTGTAGAGCAGAGGGGGCTGGGCGGCTTCCAGGAAGAGGCAGCACGTGAGCTGAATCAGGAAGACGCACAGGAGTACAAAGGGCAGGCTGCGCTCGAGGGCCAGGTGCTGAGACTGGAGGGAGGCTGCCTGTTCCAGGGCCTCTGAGCAGATGGGCGAAGGTACACAACGCGCCCAGAGGTGTGTGAACTGCACTGGGGCAAGGACACGGCGTCCACCTCGCTGAGAGCCCCGGTGAGCCGGTGACAGGCTCCCAGCTCAGTGGTGAGCGTTTGCAGTGATCGCCCCAGCGGCTGGTGGAGGTCTGAAGGAAGCAGTGAGGAGTAACCTGGATGAGGGAACAGTGGGAGTGGACTGACTCTGCAGGGATGTACAGGTAACACTGCCTGAACTTGGCAATGGACTTGTATAAAGGTGAAGGAGAAGGGAGCCATGGCAGTGCCTGATTCTAGCAGGATGGCTGAGGGCAGGCAGGGGCGCCCTCTGTCCGAGGGGACATCCTCAGTTCTGTCCGGGACACGTTGAGTTTTCAGTGTGCCTTTGACACTGCCAAGAGTTGGAATCTGGGGCCCGGGTAGGGCGATGTGAGTTTTCAGCACCCTGAAGCATGCCGAGGTCACTAGGGAAGACATGCAGAAGAGGCTCAGCACCAAGCCCGGGGATGCTCTTACCACTCAGAGATCCAGAAGAGGAGACTGGGCCAGACGTACAGGGGACAGGGGAGTGCCTCGTCATAGGGCCCAAGGGGAGGGCTGGGAGGGAGAACCAGCAGGTCCCCGCTTCCCAGGAGACACAGGAGAAGGAGACCGTGTCCTCTGGAGGTTGCTGGTTACTTCAAGGCCCGAGTTGGGTGGAGGCAGACTCCAGGTCACAATGGCTGGAGGTGGGTGCAGGCAATAGCGGGAGGCTGACAATCGAGAAGTTTAGCTGTGGTGAAGAGAATGGGAAGTAAGAGATTTTTGAGACCACAGAGGCTTGAGCAAATCTGACCGCCAAAGAGGAGGACATTTCCTTTCAAGTCTGCGTCCCAGGAGGAAGGCAGAAAGTAGAGGGGATGGTAGTGACGGAAGGGGGAGCCTCCCTCAGAGCAAGGAAGGGGGAGCCGGAAGGGGCCTGCTGGCCTGTGAGGGCAGCAGGTGGGGGGCTGCCCTTCGCCAGAGGCCGGGGTCGCAGGCCGGGTCGTGGGGACTCTGACAATGGGCTCTCACTAGTGGATCCAACCTGGCTTGGTTCAGAAACAGCCATGGGTCATGAGAGGGGGCAGGCAGGCACCGTGGCAACTGGACCCTGCGTGACACTGGGAGTGAGGAGGGCCAGCGGCCGGCGTTCCTGTTCTTTTCACCCGGCATCATGGGAGCCCCTTCGTGACTCCCTCATTCACTCAGTTTATAGTGTTTTGTTTTCCCCTTTGGTCTCATCCTTCCCTTCTGCTCTGTGCTGGCCACTGGCTCATGACAAATGAGCAAGAAAAAATTCTCACCCTGTAGGAGCTCATGCACTGGTAGGGGCCCCACTCAAGACTCGGCTTAGTGTCCAGAATCTGGGGGGGGGGGGTTGCCTGCAGCCCACACCAAGCCCCCGAGGTGGGGAAGCGGGAGGGGCAAGGCCGCTTCTCAGACACTTGGCGGACAAGCAGGAGCAGGGAGCCCGGGTGCTCTGGATAAAGGTGGTGAGGTGCCAAAGGGCGTGTGGGACAGGGGCGCCGGGGCTGTGCTTCGGAGCAAGTAAAGCTGAAGGGAAGGCAGGGCCCAGACCCGGCGGGTTTCCCGGGCCCCACAGGAGTTCCACTTTATGCAGAGATGACCAGGAGCAATTGAAGAGTTTCGGACAGAGGAGGGAGGTGGTCAGATCTGCATTTTAGAAAGATCCTCAGTCTGGTCTTGCGGGCAGGGGGTGGGCATCCAGTGGAGACGGGGCAGAGGTAGGGAGGCTGCAGTCACCCGGGAAAGTGGTTGGTGGTGTCCTGGGCTGAGAAAGCCAGTGAGAGGTGGCGAGGAAGAAGCACACACCTGGAATTTCACTGACCTGAGCCTGCACTGTCTGCCACGCCCTGTTCTATGCACCACAGGTAAGTGTATCACCTCCTCGTGTAAACCCCTGAACAGCTCTTGAAGATACACTCTGTTATTTTCTCCATTTTACGAGTAAGGAACCGAGGCTTGGAGAGGCTCGGGACTGTAGTACGAGAGGGCAAGAGCAGAGTGGGGGTCTGCTGGTGACAACAGGAGGGAGCAGAAGGGATGGGGGCGGGGCAGTCTCCGGCTCTGCTCGGTCAGGTGAGAGCGCCACTCACCAGCCCCAGCCATGGAAGAGGGTGGGCCAGAGGTTGGGGGGGGAGGTTTGTTTTCAACCTGTCACCTGGGGCCTGTGGGACATCCAAGCAGAGCTGTGGCCTGCAGAGCTGGACATCCATTCAGGCCTGAGGCTCTGGGGAAAAGATGGGCTGGAAGTAGAGATTCGAGGGCTGAGGTGCAGCTGCAGTGCTCAAGGCCATGGGCACAGGTGAGCTTTTCCAGGGAGCACGTGATGGGTGAGGGTAGATGCCCCAGCTGAAGGGCCGCTGAGGCAGAGCAGTGGCAAAGGAACTCAGGCTGCCAGGGGGCCCCGGGATGGGAGCAGGGGTTGGGGGTGGGGGATGGATCCCCATAGCATTTCATTCTGCAGAGACCAGGCTAAAGAAGTGTCCACCAGACACAGAGAACAAGGGCACTGCCAGGCCTCCCCGCAATGTGCCTGTGAAGAAGGTGCAGGAGACAGTAGGCGCAGGTGACTGAGGGCTTAGTGTTGAGACACGAAATTTTCCTCTTAGCATGTCCTAAAATTTCACATTTACCGCCTTGATTTTAATTAATTTGCAGCACTTCAGTAATTGAATCCTACCGGGAACTTGCAAAGGACAGTAAATTTCAGCTATCTAGAATTCTTGGCAAATGAGCCACTCCGGAAAACTAACATTTCCTTGGATGAAAACACTTGAAATACAGGATTACTTACTTTGTAAAAATGTGTTTATTATGGCCCTGGCTGGTGTAGCTCAGTGGATTGAGCACGGGCCTGCAAACCAAAGGACTGTGGTTCCATTTCCAGTCAGGGCACATGCCTGGGTTGCAGGCCAGTTCCCAGCAGGGGAACTCACAAGAGGCAACCATACATTGATATTTCTCTCCCTCTCTCCTTCCCTTCCCCTCTAAAGATAAATAAAATTTTTTAAAAATGTGTTTATTATGAAAATTATCAATCATATAAAAAAGTAGCGGGAAGACCACAGCAAACGCATCGCTTAATCCGAGCAGTGACCAAGTCAAGGCCGCCCGCTGTGCCGTCCACACACCCCAGGCTCTGGGTGCTTGGCAGCAGATCCTAACCATTATATCGATTTCTCCCAAAAACTTTAGTTCATTTCTCCAAAAGACAAAAGACTTTTTAAAAATGTAACCACAATACTGTACTGTTGTTACTCCAAAAAATTAATAATTCCTTAATTCAATCACATATCCATTGCTTAAATTTCCCCAACTGTCTCATTTTCCCCTAGTTGGCTGGTTAAAATTAGGCTTCAAACAAGGTTCACACATACTGCATTTGTTTTCTCTGTCTCTTTCTATTTTTCACGGAGTGTATTTGCTGAGGAAACCAGGCTACTTGGAGGCATGAGCCTGTGGGAATCTGGTAGAGAGCTGAGCGTGACGGTGGAGAGAGCGGGACGGGCCAGGGCGAGGTGGGTGCCGGCCACCCAGTCAGGACGCCCACCTGCATGACCAGGGCAGCCTGTGGAGGCCCATCTGGAGCCAAAAGGAGAGCCCAAGGCTACTGAAGGGTGGGACTGTCCCTGTGATCCCCGAGGTCCCTCAGCTGGGGGAGCGGAGGGAAAGTGGGAAGATGGCCTGAACTGAGGAGCAGGGGCAGAGCTCAGGCTGGCCAAGGGCCAGAGGCTGCCCCCTGGCACACAGGAAGTGAGGGAGGGTCAGGGCCTGATGTCTGTAGGGGGAGGGGGACGCCATGCCAAAAACCAGCTACGAGTCAGTGCCCAGCTCCTTCCCTCCTGGTCCTTCCCCGGAGCTTCTCCTTGGCCTCCCAGCTTCAGTCCTGGGCCCAGACACCAGATCTTTTTACAGTGCTTGTGATCAGTGGCCCTGACCCCTAAGCTCCACCTTCTCCTCTTGCTCCTGGCCCCCCACAGCCCTGAGAAGGACTGTCCTCCCCAGCTTCAAAGGACCAAGGCTGGCACTGCCTGGATCTGGAATACCATTCTGGAGCCATAATGGAGGTTAGGGGTGGGGTGGGGACCAGCCATGTTCAGGGTTCCTCAGGTTGCTAGTGAGGATGACTACTGAGGTGGCTTAGACCAGTGAGGAGTGGGCCTGCCAGTACCAGCCTTTGCCCGAGACGGGTTCGGGGCTGGGGCGGGCAGTGCCAGGGTCCAGCACCCCTCCCGGGCTTGTCTTCTGTTCCTCCCACCCCACCACACCTCCATCCGCCAGCCTCAGTTTCTCTCCTCCGCTTTTTTCCTTCTCTGCCCTGGGGTTTCTTTTATCTACTCCTTCTGCCTCCTTGGGGGGCTTCCCACGCCTCCCACCCCACATCCTGGACCCACGAACACACACACTCATGCTGAGTCCCCAACACAGAGACATGAGGCAACTTGGACCAGTACGAACCTCTGGCCTCCTGGCTCCACGCCATTGGGCCCGACTGTCCGTGAGAACCGGGGTGCGGCCTGGAGTGGGCGCCCCCACGGCCAGCTGTTCTGCCGACAGACACCAGCCGTGCAGGTGTGAGGGCATCTCAGCCCACAGGTCTGTGTTCAGGGCCTTCCAAACCCAGACCTACAGGGAGTCTGTCTTCTAGAAAATCTTGTTCAAGAAGATTTTTGAGGACTTACAAGGACCTATGCAATAGAAAAGAGCTTAAAGTAGGAATAAGTAAGAATGAAGCTAGCCCTGACTGGTGTGGCTCAGTGGGTAGGGTGTCGTCCTGCATATCTGGAGGTCGCAGGTTCGGTTCTCAGTCAGGGCACAGGCCTGGGTTGTGGGCCTGCCTCCTGTTGAGGTGTGTGTGAGGGGCAAGTGATTAATGTTTCTTTCTCCTTCCCTTCCTCCCTCTCTAAAAATAAATAAAATATTTTAAGAAATAAAATAATGAGGCCTAGGGTTAGGGTTGAGGCATAAAATGAGTCCAGGAGCCCTGGCTGGGTAGCTGAGTGGATTAGATCATTGTCCCACTGCTCCAAGGTTGCAAGTTCAATCCCCGGTCAGGGCACATACAAGAATCAACCAGTGAATGCATGAATAAGTGCAGCAACAAATGGATGTTTTTCTCTCCCCCCTTCCCCTGTCTAAAATCAATTTGAACATAAAAAATTTTTTTGAACAATTCCAGGAAACTTTGCCAAATCAGGCCTGCCTGCCCTGAGTTGGCCGTGGATCGGGTTGAGAGCCCCCTAGCAGGCAAAGCAAGAGAAGAAGCAGGTCCACCGTGTATTTCTGTGTCTGTGAGATGTAAGTTCTGAAGAATGACACTGGTCCTGACTGAGACCAGAGCAATCATCGCTTTAAGGTGACAGGCGCTGTCTGGAGGCCTTGGCCCAGTCCCGCCCCCAGAGGCACGAGAAAGCGGGCAGAGGGCCTGTCCTCACAGCGCCAAGCCCGGCTCTGCCTCTGGGCCGGGGCGACGGGCCTGCGCCACATACTGCTGTGGGCCTTGCCAAGTCGGGGGTGTCACAGACCCTGTGGGGGAGCAGATCCCCCAGTGCATGTCCGTTGTCCCTTCATCCACACATCGGCTGTTTTACTGGACTCCTTCCCCCACGTCCCTCTGTGTCCAGCTTTGAGACAGGGGCTGCATCAGGCTCAAAGGTGCTCACAGGCTGGGGCAAGGTCCCGTGAACAGCCCACACAGAGTTAAAGGCGTAAGTGTAGTAGACAGTGGGCACTCTTTGCCTCTCGCAAGTCACTTCAGAGGCGGTGGTGGCTGTCAAGGGCCCCCAGGAATTCTGGCCTTGCAGCCTCAGAGCCTCCCCACCTCCAGCCCCGACCTTTGTGGAGCAAGCAGGCCAGGACGGCATCTCTGGAAAGTCCTAGCAGGGACTGGCTCTGGGCCAGGTGCCAAGCTGGCAGGATGGAGGGTGGGGAGCCAGCAGGGGTGGGGCCTCTGATCTCCCTTCCCCTGGTTCCTGCCAATCCTGCCTTTGTACTCTCCACTTTCTTTTCTCCTTTCCCCCCCACCTCCCCCAATAACTCTCTCTCTCACACACACACCCACCCTTCACCCTTTCCTCTTGGTTCTCCAGGCCAGCGCCAGCTGTGCTTTCACGCTTTCCTCATCTGACGTGCTCCCCACGTCCCCCACCGGGAAGCCCCGCCCCCCCGGCCGCACCCCCATGGGGCACACTGGCGTCCCCACCTGGCTGTTCTCTCAAAGTGCTCTCTGCTGTTCTATGGTCGCAGGCATGTCCTTGTCCCTCATAGAGCCTCGGCTTCCTCATCCGAGAAACAGAAAGGGTTGGAGCTCTCTCCTGGTGGAAGAAGTTTGGACTTCGGACTTAGATGGAACGGAGTTTCCAACCCACTTATTTCCTTAAGTTTTTCTGAGCCTGTTTCCTCATCTGTAAAACGGGGTCTGATAAAAACAGAGTACACGGACTTGTGGTGAGGCTCGAATGAGACAGCAGGCGCGGCGCTCTGCGGGCCTGGCATTCGTTGCCGCCCACGCCGGGCTCCAGTGCCCGCATCTCCAGTGGGCTCCTTCCTGTGCCTGAGCGGCCAGTCTGGTATTTGATGGCAGGCTCGGATGGTGCCTGCTTCCCCCTCCCAGAGCCCAGCCAGGCCAATGAGAGAGAATAATGGGGCAGAGAGGACGGTGGGACCCAGGCCCTGGGCGGCCCTGACCCACAGGTGCATCCCAGGCCCGCAGCGAGTGCCGGCCCAAGGCTTGAGGAGCTGAAGCGGTGCGGTGTGGAGCAGGGCTCCCGTCTTCTTCTCTGGCTGGGAGGCGGACACGCAGGTGAGGTGACCAGGCTGGGGCACCAGGGAGCCCAGGGCATGGTGAGTGGCCCCCACCAAGGCCCAGCAGAGAAGATGGGTCAGGGAGTGGGGTGGGGAGCCCAGGGTCCCAGTGTCCCACGGGGCAGTCGAGCAGCTGGGCCCCATAGGCCGTGTGGTCCAGCCCGGGCAGGGGCCCAGTTGGCTGTGTCCTGGAGAGGCCTGTCTGGAGGGGAGGCATCGGGATCCTCCTGGGCTCCTCCACCCAGGATACCCAGGTGAGCAGTGTCTCCGGCCTCCCCCTGCCCGCACCCGCACCCGCACCCTTCTCCTTGTGCCTGCAGCTCAGGCTGCTTGTCACCTCCCACGGAGACAGCCCTGCCATCCACGCTCCAGCCAGTGAAGAGCACACCTCTTGGAGCTGCTTCGGGAAGGACCTGAGCCTCCCCAACTCCTGGGCTGCATACGCACTGCCCACCCGTGCCCCTGCCCCAGCCTCTGACAAGGAGCCCACCCCTCCCAGGGCTGTGCCCTCCTGGCTGGCTCCTCAGAGATAGTTCCTCCCTGGGACTCCCTCCGGCTCAGTCCCAACTGCACCTCCTGTGGGAGCCACCCCAGGGAGTCCTCCATTCAGTCACCCCAACGGCTGCAGATCAGCGGGGGTGGTGAGATGACGCGGGTGAGGCCCGTGGTCAGTGCTTTCATTCACACGGCTCTTTCATGCCCAGCACTCGTTAGGAGTGGGGAATATTAGTTCCCAAGTGCAGGTGGATACTGAGTTCCAGAGAGGGGAAGTGACTTGCCCGAGGTTCCACGCTGTGTACCTGGCAGAGATTTGGGGCCAGGCTTGCCAGCGGAGGGTCCGTGCCCATCCCCCAGCCAGCGTCCCGCCACGCCCTTCCCTTTCTCCAGGTGGCACGCCGGCCTCTCCCTCCCCACCCACTGCCTCCTTACTAGCTGGGCCCGTTCCTCCGTGTCTCTGGCAAACACCCCTTAGCTCATAACAATTAGGATAATTGCTGGCATTTATGGTGTGGAGCTTTCTGTGTGCCAGGCAGCGTCAAGCAGTCCACATTCATTGTCTTAGTTAATCCTTGGAACAACGTTACGAGGTAATTTCAATTATTATCCTCATTTGAAAAATGAGGAAGTGGGAGTTTAGGAGTTGGCGTCTCCTTGGTCTGCGCTGCCGCCCTCTGGCCTGAAGGGGGCGGTGACAGCGCTCTGCTGTGAGCAGTGTCTGTGTGCTCCGAGAAACTCAGGAACTCTCAAGTTCAGCGCCCTTCTCCTAACTCCCCAGAGCCTGCTGCCCAGCCCCTGCAAGGCAGGTGGGCTGGTCATATTGTCCTCGTCCACTCGGACGCATCCCGTGTCGTCTGTCCTGAGTCTGTCCTGACACAGTCCAGGCTTGGCAGAGGGACAGGAAAGAGATGGCAGACCCAGCGGCACAGGGGGACTTGGAGTTTAAGGAAAGGGAAGGAGAGAAGACAAGTGGGAAGGGGTGTTAGCGCTGGAGGATTCAAGGCAAAACCCCACTTTGGGTCCAGCCTTGGTCCCACCTGGGAAGAGTCACAGAAAGACCCTTGACCTCTTCTGTAAACTCCAAGTACCAGCCCTCTGCCAGGTAGGCTTGTTCTCCCACCCCTCTCTTCTGCCCCTGCCCCTCTCTTCTGCCCCCGCCCCTCTCTTCTGCCAGGGGAGATTCAAGCTAGACCCCAGGGACAGGGCCCACAGCAGGTTGAGAAGTGGCACTGGAAGCCTGGGCAGAATGGCTTCTGGGCCACCCTCACTGTCCGGGCCTCGGGTCACGGTGGCCCTGCCGGACTCCAAGTCTCCATAAAGATGGAGCCAGCCGGGTGCTGGGCTCTTGTCACTGGGACTTCCAGAACAGGCTTCGGAACCAGATCACCTCCTGGGCGAAGTCTGCCCACGGGCAAGCCCCCCACGCACGGCCTCTTTTGTTTCCGTGGGCGACACGAGTGGGTAGGTGGGCAGGTTACAGGGCTCAGAGCTCCGCAGGTTCTGTGTGGTCTGTTGCCTTAGGAGACTCGTGCCTGTCACAGCACAAAGGGCAGCACAAACACAGGGTCGTCCTCTCTACACAGACTCCTAAGTGGCCCAAAGCACATGCCTGTGAGGGCTCTCACGAGACCGGGATGCAAGCCCCTCCGTGCCATTCTGACACCCCGCCCCCCATCCCGGGGCCAGGGGAGCCCAAGACTCAGAGTTGGGGATGATTTCCCCTGATGGGGGCTGGATAGAGGAGGGGGCTCTGTCTCCAAGGTGCCCACTCGCTCCGTGCCCCTCCGCCCCTCCGGCGTCCTTGAACAGCAGCCTCTCTCCCGGACGCCTGGATTTGGTCAGCGTCAGTGTGGGACCCCTGCTTTTTGTCCCTGGAAGTTTCTTCGGGATCTCAGCAGCCACCAGAACCCTGGCAGGTGAGGGCCTTATGGGCAGGTAAGAGCAGAGGAACCGTAGCTCATGAGTTCTCCTGAGCACACACACCTTCTAAGAAGCACTGGTTATGGGGCCAGCCATTTCCTCACTGTGTGACCTGGGCAAGTCACAAGTCCTCTCCTGTCTGCCTCGAAGAGTCATGGACATTCTCAAATAGGACGAAGCATGAGAAGCTTTTATTCCAGTGTTAGCCCCCTAAGTGCCCCTGGCTGGAGCTGTGGGGCAGGTGGAAGAGGGACAGTGGCGAGGGACCTTTCGGGAAATGGAGCAAAAGATGTAGTGGAGAGTCACGGGGGGACCCACAGCTGGTGCGGACAGTGGGAGCTCGTGAACACCAAGACCTCCGTCTTTGGAGTCTGGGCCCTGGGGAGTCACGGAAGGTTTCTGAGGAGAGCCTGCTGCACGGCCTGCAAGGCGCGACGTGGTCAGACCCATACTCAGGAGAGGGCCACCTCGTGGTCACTCACATCAGTAGTGCTCTGGGGGCCCAAGGGTGCTGCTCAGTCTGCCCCCAGGCCTCTAGTTCAAGGTTGTCCAATTTTCCTACTCACTGGGGGCTCACCTCTGGCTCAAGGGAGGCAGCTCCCATAGCCCACCCATCTTCTTGTCTGACCCTAACACCTTTCTAATGAAGTAAGTAAGATAAGGGTCAAAGCTGCCCAAGGCCAAGCCAACCTCTTGCCTGTCTGTAATATGATGGAGTCTGGGGGATGAGGGCTGGGTGAGTGCGCTGCTGGGCGGGGGCAGGTCTTACCTTCCCTCCTCTATCCCCCTTTCCAGGCGACCTTGGTGTCTTATCCTTTCTGACCTTCACTTTGAGCCAGCCAGGTCCAGAGATGATGTCACCCCTGGGTCTGCCCTGCGGGAAGGCTAGGGGACAGGCACCCTGGGGACCCCTTCCCTCCCCAGGTGCCATCAGACCGGCCACTCCAACCATCTTCTCTACCTCCTCTTTGAGCTTTGCCAGGCCCTGTGCTGGGCTGTGCTGGGAGCAGAGGTGACCCAGAGCCAGGCCTTGTCCTCAAAGACCTTCCAGGCTGGCTGGAGGCTATGGAGAACCAAGAAGAGGTCTGAGCCAGCCAGGGAGCAGGGAGGAGTAGTGTAGACAAAGGCCTGCGGCCTGAGGGAGCTGCACTGCTCAGAGGCCCAGGGACTGCAGGGCAGGGCCTGTGGCTGAGCTGAGAGAGAACCAGGGCTCTTCCCTGGCTGAGGTGAACTTATGGTCAGGGAGGGGTTTGTGGGCAACCCTATGAGAAGGCTCCCCTCGTCCCCAGGTCTCCCATAGGTTTCAGGCCCAAGTTTTTGTCTTTCTCCTCCAGGCTTCATGAAGCCCTTCCTGGAGTTAAAGTGGCTCCGCCTGGTGAGGCGGCTGGAAGGGCTGCCAGCCCCTAGGCACTGGAGAAGCCATGATTCCAAACCTGAGCCCCATTGAGAGTGGGGGCCCAGACAGCAGGCGTGTGGGGAAGGGGCCGATTTGAGTATCATAGGATCCTCTTTTCTTCAAATCAGGAGTCCTCTAACCAATGGGGGAGGTGGGGGCTATGTCTAAGCAGTCTCTGGGACCCAGGTGCTCTCTCTTATCCTCACCTCACCACCCAGACACATCTATCCAGGGGCGTCCTGGAGGCAGAAGGCACGCCTTTCTGCCTGCCCCCCTCCAAGAAGCCCACAGTCGGTAGGACCTATTGCCTCACCCCAGCTAGCTGGCTGCCCCAGCCGTGCACCACTCCCCAGGGGAAAGAATTTTTGACCTGGAGGAGACACTGATCAGACACAGGGTCCTGCATGATGTCTCTGAGCAGTGGGCCCAGGCAACCGGAAGAGCAGCTGGGGTTCCCAGGCCAGGCCAGGCCTGAGGGAGCCTGGAACAGCCACGCAGCCTGGAGAAGCTGAGCTCCCCGCACACTGGATCCCGGGCACCGGGAGGCTCCCTGTGTCCAGAAAGAAGAGCAGCACTGTACTTGGGAATGACTGTCCCCCAAAGTCTGGAGGGGAAGAAGGGCAAGGGTGAAATGCTGCAGGTCACAGGATAGGGTGGACCTGCCAGGCAGGGGACTGTGCTGGAGGGCAGCTCTGCACAAGCAAATGTCCAAGGAGCCTCACAGCTGGGGCTAGAGAGAGGAGATGCCAGGTATTCTGACGTGGGTCTGTAGACAAGTGACAAAAATAGACTGGGTGCCAATTTGCATGTAGCTCCCCACGTGACTTGATTCTCACACGGCTTGCTTAATGCTCAGACGCACCGGAGTCCTCGTTTCATCTCCTCCTTTGCCATCTGGCTTCTCCCCAGGGAATCATGCCCCACGGCATGCCCAGCGTGGGGCCTGAGAGTTGCATTCAGCCACGATGCTAGATGCTGGGCAGAAGAGGCCAGCAACTCCTGTGGTATTTGCTGAGCTCTGGTAGCTTGACGTTTGAATCTTGTGTCCTCGGGCCAGAGCCGCTGAGGTTGGTCTACTGGCGTGGGGAAGGCTGGGGCACCACACTCTAAGGCTAGGTCTCTCTAATCCTACTTCCTGCCAGATTCTATTTACCCCAAAGAGGCCACTTCCCCAGGCTGAGCAGGGAGGCAGGGGCCCAAGCACTGGGAGTTAGCTGTTACTGGCCGCAGCTTGGACCGTGCCCTGGGGGAAGTGGAGAGGAGAGGACTGAACTGGACCTCTGCCTCCTTCAGGGGCAGAACCACTTCTGGAAAGTGGAGGGGTTCTCAGAAACCACAGCAGTGGCCACTCCCTGTGGGGGGGCAGGGGCCAATCTCAGGGAGAGGAGTTTGAGAGCAGGGGGAATTCAGGAGCCAAAATGGACATGGGTCAGATAAACTCGATGTGACCATAACAAGGGAGGAATCTGGTAAGGCCTCTGGAAGGAAGAGGCGTGCAGTGCCCTGGGGAAGGTGGGTGCTGACAACACAGGGGCTGTGCCCGGGCCCCAGAGAAGGGGCTTGCTTTTCTGCAGGACTCCGCCAAGCACCCTGAGCTGTGGACAGTGGGCTTGCTCCAAGACCTGCAAGAGATGAGGTGAGGGCACAGAGCTGGGAGGGGCCGTGTGGGTGGAGGGAAAAGAAGCCCCACTCCACCCCTTGCTTCTCTGCCTGAAGTTCATCTGTCAGCCCGTGACCCCTCCCATCCTTTCCTGAGCAGCCAGCCCAGAGCCTGGAACACAGAGAGGAGCTGGGGCCAGAGTTAGGTTTATCGAGTTGACCTGAATTTAATTGAATCAACTTTAAAGTTTTGAAAGTGCTCATTTAAAAGCATGAGGGCCCCCCACTCAACATTCCCACACAGAGAGGGTTAGTAAATCTGAGCACCTGGAAGGAGGGGACATTTTGGTGGGGTACCCAAGACCTAGTTGTGGCAGGGGGTCTCTGACTTCCTTCGCCCCCTCCAGTCTCCCAGCGTCCCACTCTAGGACAGGGGTCTGGAGCTACCCTCTGGGGGCAGGGGGTCACCTTGATGCCAGGAAGGAGGGAAGCTTCAGTGGGAGTGCTGTGGCTGCAGACCAACCCCTGTCCCCGCATCTAGACTGGGAGTGGGAGGGTGGGAGGAGGGGGAAGAGCTAAATCCCCTGGGAGCTGGGAGTGAAAGGCAGAGCCCGGGGAGCCTGAGGTTGAGACAGAAATCTTCAGGGAGATCTTTGAGCTAAAGCTGTCTCAGGATCCAGGAAAGAGGTTTGGGGTAAGAACAGTCCCTAAGAAGGGACCCTATGGATGGTGCCTGTTCCCCACCCAGGCGCTACCTCTGGGAATTATGAGAAATGGTTAGGCAGTCTGGATGCAACCAGAAAAAAAAGTAATGAGTCCTCTCCCTTGGCTTCCACTGCCCACCAGGGATGCAGCAACTCATGTGGCTTCAAGAGCCCAGGTCTTCTATCCACCTGTGGGCATCAAGCATCCTTTCTCAGAGCCGGCTCAGACCTGAGCCTCCTGCAGAAAAACCTTTGGGGCTCAGTGGTAAGGGGGAAAGAAGCAGCACCATGGGGGGGGGTCCACCCTTGAGATCTGGGCTCAGCCCCTTTTTCCAATGCTTCTGCAGCCCCTGACCACAGTCCCTGTGTTAGCCCTCCTCTCCTGGGACCCTGGAAGGCACACCTGTGTCTATATTTGGGTGAGCGTGCACATGTGCACGCAGGGACACATCTCATCTGCTTTCTGCCCTCTCTACTTTCTGGAGAATCCCACAGACTCTCAGTGCCAGCAAGGCCCTGGAGACCACTTGGGGAATTCCTTCAACAACTAAGAGAGAAATGCGAGTGGCTGTGCCCAGAGTCACTCGGAGCAGCTCTTCCCCATACCCCGGCTCCATCTTGCTCTTTTTCTTGCCTTTACCACCAGCCCGTTTTTCGCTGTTTCTTTCTCCCTCTCATCTCAAGAAACTTTGGTGCCCTGATGGTCCTAGGCCCCAGGGCTCCCCAGCTGTTCCCGCAGATGGAGACCTGCAAGCCGAGGCAGGGGAGGCAGCTTTGTTCTCTGCCCTCTCTCCAGGGATCCTGGATGGAAACCAGAGCACCCCAAAGCCTGAGGTAGGAAAACAGAGCCCACAGTGGCCCAGATTCCAGGTTCCCTACCTCCCTCTGGGTGAGAAGCTGACCCAGGACCTTAGAACTTCCCCTTTCAGAAAGCAGCAGCCAAGGACCTCTACCTGCCTGGCCAGCCCCCAGGGGCCTCCTTGCGCCTGCAGCCTAGCATCTTCCTGTTCTTTCCCCTTACCTGACTTGTAGGTCCCTTCTACTACGTGCACATCAGGTAGGCCTTCCCTATGGGCAGGACCTCCCACACCTACCTGGCTGGGTCTGTGGCGTAGTCATTTGCCTTGTGAGAAGGAGGGTTACAGCCCAGGCCCACCTGCCTGGTCTGCCAGCTGGCAGTGAGCAGGGCCCATGGTTTCAGTAAGTGCTACCAGCCATGTGCTCGGCCGCCGATCCCACCGGATCCTGCCCTCACAGAAACCGCTCTCTAATGTGAGAAACTGACGAGCACATGCTACTCACACCCTATGTGGTCAGTGCCATGGTGGCAGGAAGCTCAGCAGCTGTGACAGTACGAGAAAAAACACTCGACTCAGCTTGGAGAGATCAGAGAATCAACCTAGAAGGGACGTTTGACGTGGGTCATCGAGGCAACTAGTTCTCCAACCTGATAAGTAAAGGCACGAATACAGAGAAAACAACACGAGAAAAGGGGTGGAAGCATAAAAGAAACACAATATTTTGGAGAAAAAGTGGCAAGTTCAGTACTGTCAGAGCGAAGAGTGGGGTCAGTTTGCGAAAATGGTCAAAAAGAATCACAGAGATTGGGAGGAGGTCAGTGTCTACTTGGTGGACGTTTGTTGAATGAATGAAACATTTACAGATGTAGGGTGTGCTAAAGAGCTCAGAAATGAGATTGATGGTTCTTGGTGGAATTTCAAAACGAGAATAATCAGTATAGTCAAGGGTGTCCTGGAGGATCAGGGAAGTGTGCTGACCTTTAAAAGTGGAGTTGAAGAGGGGACAACATCCAGGTGAGGAGAACGGCCAGCGTATGAGGTGGAATGATGACAGTCTTATGTGTCACAGGGACCATAATGGCGGCCATAAGGCTGGGGCCAGCTGGACAGACCTTGAATGCCAGGGGGAAGGTGTGGTTCTGATAGGGCCAGGCCAGAGGAGCCATGGAAGGTCCCAGAGCAGAGGATGCTGTGGTGCAGTGAGTGTAGAAAGTGTAGCAAGCCTGTTCTCAGAAGCCCAGAAGGGAGAGGCCCAAGTAAACTTCTTCGCTCCCTAGGAGCAGGCTGGACCTGGACGAGAGCCTTTAGGACTGTCTGGCCACAGGCAGCCTTCCCCTTAGCCCTGCCCCATGCATCCTTAGGGCTGGGGGTTCTGAGGAGGCACTCCTTTCCCTGAAGGGATGCTCCCTTCTCATCCCTGGGAAGTGCATGGTGTCTGGGAGGTGGAAAGTGAAGCCACTTCCCTCTTGGTGCCCAGCTTCTAGCCATACCCCAGCTTTTGGAGCAGCTGCAACCTTATCAAAGGTGATCTCCCTCTCCCCATGCTTTTATATACTTATCCACCGTCTATGTTTGCCTTTATCTCTCTGAAGGCTTCTACCTCCTCTGGAGAGGTAGCTGAGAGTGGGCTTCAGGCAGGCAAGGAGCCCAAGGTCTGGCTTGATTGCAAAAAGACTGGATACCCCACAGACCTTGAGCCCTGGATAACTGTCCCCACACTCATCAGAACAAAGAGAGGTGTCTCTAGGTTCCCCTCTTGGGTCAACCCAGCCAGCAACACCATGAACAAGGGTCTCTCCCAACTCCCTTCATCTCCAGGGGTCGTAGGGGCAGGCATGTCATGGAGAACTCTTTGAGGCATTTGAGGCATTCATAATTGGCATTCCCCATTCTCTGGTCTCCCTCCCTTTCCCGCTGTGAAGCTCTTCAAGCAGCTGCTGGGCAGCAGGTTGGGGAGAAGGATGGGGTGAGGCCCAGCCCTGGGCCTTACACTACTCTCTGGGCGGAGTAGGGAGCAGGGTTCCTGGGACACGTATTAGCACAGCCCGTCCCCCTAGGAGCTACCCCACCTCCCACCCTAATCCGTGGCCAGCGGTCCGGAGCAGAGCTTGGCGTTGAAGGAGGCACGTGGGAGAGGCGGGAGCTCCAAGCGGGCACGTGCTCCAGCCTCCTCTGCCCCGTGCAAGCCCCCCGCCCTGTGCCAGGGGGGTGCGAGATGGGGGCGGGGCCTGGGGTGGAGAGCGAGCGGCTGGCGGCGGCGGGAGCTGTCCGCGAGCCCTGGTTCTGAAGTGGGCGAGGAGGTGCCCGGCGCTCGGTTCCGGGGCAGCGAAGACCATGGCGTTCATGGTGAAGACCATAGTGGGAGGCCAGCTGAAGGACCTCACCGGGAGCCTAGGGGGCGGCGAAGACAAGGAGGACGGGGACAAGTCAGCAGCCGAAGCGCAGGGCATGAGCCGAGAGGAGTATGAGGAATATCAGAAGCAACTTGTGGAAGAGAAGTGAGTGGGACCCTTTCCCGGCTCCAGTGGCCCTCTTCCCCACTCCACCCCTAAGCCGCCGGCGCACCTCTAGGGCAGCCTCAGACCCCAAGCCCTGTCCTCGCCCCCTCCTTTTCTAGACGGGCAAGAGGCTGGGATGTGACTTCTAGGCTGCCCTCCCCACCCCAGCCACAACATTTCAAACCCAGGACCCCGCCCCAGCTTCCGGGGATGGGGGTCGGAAGGGGCCTGGGACCCGCTGGGGGCACGTGCATTTCTGGGGAAACATGTAATCCTTTAATCCGATCTGGTCCCAACATCTGTGTCTTCCAAATGGAGCTCCTCTGAGCCTGAGGCTCTGAGAAAAAACGGTGCAGCTGAGGGGGCCTCAGAGTTAGAGAGACAGATTCTGAGATGGGGGCATTCAGAGATATTGAGGCCAAGTGCATGCGGTGGGCATGCTGGGGCAGAGAGGCACCTGGAGTGGAGTCAGGGGCTGGACTCCAGAGCTCCTTGGGTCAGGTACTGGCTTTGCTTCTTTTTAGCTGGGTGATTTTAGACAAGTTACTTAACTTTGCTATGCCTTGGTTGCCTCTTCTGTAAAAGGAGGGTGGTAATTATAAGACATGCCTTATATATTTATGAGGCTTAAATTACTTAATGCAAGTAAACTGCTTAGCATGGCACCTGACACATTGTAAATCATTAAATGTTAGCTATAATTATTTCACTTAATCTTTATAACGTTTTATGAGTTGCAAAATATTATCCTCATTCTACAAAAAGAGGAAGGTAAGTGACTTACCCAAAGACATACAAAAAGTAGTAATGGAGCCATATGTGAACCCAAGTCTGTTTCAAATGCTTTACCCCCCACCCAAAACAACCTGTCTGGGAGGAGAAAAACAGAGTCTGAGGCAGAGAGGGCCCTATGCTCCAAAGTCAGGCAGACTGATTCTCTCTCCCCATAGCTCAGCCCAGAAGCAGATGCGGGGACTAGAATGGGTGCTGTGATTGGGGGACAGAATGCAAAGACCAGCATCTGCCTGGTCCCAGCACCTTCCTGATACAGGCCAACAGGCGTCCCTCCCCTTAGTGCTGGCAATGACTCCACCCTGGTGCCCCCACAGGATGGAGCGGGACGCACAGTTCATGCAGAGGAAGGCAGAGCGGGCCACCCTGCGGAGCCACTTCCGAGACAAATACAGACTGCCCAAGGTAAGCTCAGGAGCCAGGGCTGTAAGGTATATCTGGCCCCTGAGCCTCAGGCCTGGACTCCTTTGTCCCACTCTGAGTCATAACTCTCAGCTCCTAAGACTGATGGAAAGCTTGGTTAGACCGTTTGTTCTTTCACTCATTCATGGTTAACTGGAGCTCACCTAGGACTAGGGCTTGGTGAGGAGGGGTAGCCCAGTCCTCTAAAACTGATAGGTTTGTGTTTCTGGAGCCACTCCAGGCCCCTCCTGTTTTCCAACCCACACTCTCCCAATATGACTCAGGCCCAGGCCGATGAAGAATTGGAAGGCAACAAATTTTTCTATGGGAGTGAGGGCTCTTGGGGAAGGCAGGATGGGCAAAAGAAGGCAGCACCCTCTGTGTGTCAGGCACTTTACGTACCTTACCTACCTAACCCCTCAGTAATTCTGCTGGGGTAGCTGTCACCCACATCTACAAATAAGGAAACCGAGACTCAGATAGATTGATGGACTTGACTAAGATCATAAAGCCAGTGAGTGATGGAGCTTAAACTTGTGAATGCTGAGCCTACTCCAAGACCCCTGGCTGCTTTCCAGGGCATGAATCTGTCAGCAGAGAGCAAAGTAACTCCTTGGTTGGCCAGGCAGCCAGTAGGATGTTTCCCAGAGGCACTGCGGCACCGGATGTGCTGTAAGTGTTCAGTTCCTGTTGCCTAAGAAGACAACTGGGACATGAGCCACTTTCAGGGCCCAGAACTACAATAGACCCTGAAGAGAAGCAGAAATACAGTGTTATATAGTACACCGACCTTGATCTTCCATTTGAATTGGAAGACCAGATATGTAAATATCACAACCACTCATCCAACAAATATTTCCTGAGCCCTTGGCTGCCTCTGACTCCCCACAGGACACAAGTCTTTTGGAAGTCTCCCAAAGGGAGAACAGGTCCAGAAAGCCTGCCTTTCCAGGGGGGTAACGGAGTTAAACAAAGCTGGGAATGGAGTCATTCCTCAAACATTTGCATTAAGCAATAAGAGATACAACTGCTGTTATCAGGGAACTCTGAGTCCAACCGAAGAAGGAAGACTTGGCTGTAATTGAGTAGGACGTAAAGTGGCCCTCAAGGGATAGGAAAGTGTAACAACCAGCAGCAGATACCTTGCAAGTAGACCACAAATGTTGGTATCAGTGACATAGGTTTAAATCTAGCTCTCCCACTCAAAATTGGACAACCATGGGAAAGTTACTTACTTAAATTCTCTGAGCCTCAATTTCCTTATTTGTAAAATGGAAAAAGCAATAATTGTGAGAATTAGGGGCACTCAGCTCAATGGCAGCCATATAGTAGGTGTTTGATGAATGGTACCCATCACTATTATTGGTAATGTCCTCAATGTAGTTAACAATAGTCAATATATGACTGACCGTAACAGTTGGACTCCTAGGTGTTTTCATTTTGCCCTTACTCATTCTGTTAATATCTTACCTTTAGTATTTCAGAGTGAAGTAAGGTGGCATAAGAGTCTGAATGTCGATATCTTGATCCTGGGGTGTGGGGGTGGGGTCTGAACTCACAGGAGCACGGGTCTTAACATCTAGGGCCTTGGAACCCAGTCCAGGCCTCCTCTCCAGCCCCTTCGCTTGGGTCCCCATACACCTCCCACTGCAGCCCAACTCTCCCTTCTCTTCAGAACGAGACAGATGAGAGCCAGATCCAGATGGCAGGTGGAGACATGGAGTTGCCCCGGGAGCTGGCCAAGATGATTGAGGAGGACACGGAGGAGGAAGAGAGGGCCTCAGTCCTCGGGCAGCTGGCCAGCCTTCCTGGCTTAGACCTTGGCTCCCTCAAGGACAAGGCCCAGGCCACACTGGGGGACCTCAAGCAGTCAGCTGAGAAGTGCTACATCATGTGACTGCTTCCCCTGGGGGTGCTTATGGGTGTGACCAGAGGCCTGGGGCCACATGAGCTGGAAAAGCCTGTCTCAACTTCCATGGACCTATACCCTACCTTGGCTTTGTTTCCGCTGTACCAGGCTCTGACCCAGCCTACCTCCTGGCTTCTCTCTCTCCTCTAGGAGCAAAGTCCACATTCCTCCCCCTACCTCCTCAGGACTCACCCCCCCTACTCAGCCTGGAGAAGCCTCCCAAGATTGTAGGAATAGGCCATGGACCCAAATTCCTGCACATAGATGCACCCATACAAATACCCAGAGAGAGGGGCAGAGACCTTGGTATGTGCAGAGTTGTACTCACAGATGCATCCTGGCGCACACAGACACACACGTGGGCCAGCACCCTGGTGCCTAGCCCCTCTGGACACCAACACTAAGATATGCTTGGAGAGGGCTTTAGGCAGGCACCCTCAGCAGATGGGAGGCCTGAGTGTGAGTCTCCACATTTATTCTCCTTGAAAAGCACTGCTCTCATTTCATCATCTATAAAACAGGGGTGAACTGGGGGATTTTTAAGATCTTTCCAGCTTGGCCTCCCAGGACCCTCACGGTCAACCCCACATCCCTCCTTGGGCAGGGCAGGTGCTGCCACTGTGGGCTGTGGCCCTTGGGAGCTGAGTGGTGCTGTGCAAGGAACAAGTACCAAGGATGAAGCTGGCACCAAACAGTAGCTCAGGAAGCTCCAGGACTTCTCCGAGCTGAGGGCCCAGGGCCTAGCCAATTTCTGTTTTGTTTCTGTAGAACTCTCTGGATTCCATAGCTGGATTTCCCCTCTCAGTTCAGTGAAAAGAAAAATCCCAGCTCTGACGTGTGTGTCTTAGTTGGGCATTGTCCCTGCAAACCAAAAGATTACCAGTTCGATTCCTGGTCAGGACATGTGTCTGAGCTGCAGGTTCAGGCCCCAGTTGAGGCATGTACAAGAGGCAACTGACTGATGTTTCTATCCCTCCCTTCCTCCCTCCCTTCCCCCTCTAAAAGTAAATAAATAAAACCTCTTTAAAAAAATAAAAATAAAAATTCCAAATGACCTGTTTATCTTCCCACTTCTTACTGATCTCCAAAGGTCTTGGGGTTCATAGCCTCCTTCAGCCTTCTTTGGAGGGGTGTCTTCTACCTCTTCACCACAGCTTCATAAGACCACCAGCTCCTACGCAATGTTCAAGCTCTACCCTCTGGACAAGGGTGGGAGTCCCCCAGCACTAGGGGGGGACCAAGCACTAAGTCCAGCCTCTGGGCTTTAAGGAGAATGTGGCATCCAGCTGGATGGGCAGGGCCTCTGGGGTGTTACCTGAGACCTCAGGAGGTGCCACAGCTCAGTCACATCTGTCCCTGGCACCTGTGCCTCTGCCCCCTCCTCACCTTGGAGGTGGAAGGTGGGACAGTAGAGGGCAGGGCAACTTCATTCCAGGCCCGGCATTGCTGTGCGACTTGGAACAGGTTCGTTTTCCTCTCTGAGCCTGTTTCCTCTACTGTGTAATGAAGAGTGCCCCCCCCACCGCTGTCGAAAAATAACAATGCGTGTTTCAAAGGGTGGCCACTTTAAAGCACTTGGCACGTGATAGGCCATGTCAATAAATGGTAACTCCTTCTTTAAAAACACTGAAGCTCACAAAGCTCATCCTGCTTGGCTGTGCGGTGTCCAGGGACACCAGCAGGAGGCTCCACAAGCGGGCCATCGCTGAGGCCCGAGCAGGTGCCACCACCACCCTCACCCTGGCACTGGCTCGTGGAGAAGATTTACAGGCAGAATGGCCGTTGGAGGGTTTGGTTTCAAGGGCAATTGCCACTGGGTCTCCTTTGCAAAATAAGAACAAAGCACATAAAACCTGTACAATGGGTGATGTGGGCAGCGTCACATGGAAGAGAGAAGAAAGGGTGAGGAATTAGGAAGGTGAGGGCAGGGAAGGACGCAGGCCCAGGATCGGGCAGTGCCGTCGCGGCTGTCATGCTGGGTCCTTCTTGAGCATCCCCTAGGCCGTCCTCTGGTTGTCACTGGGCAAAACCCTCTGCTGACCTTCCTGGAGCTGGAGGAGACCTAAGTCAGGCTCTAGGCCGTGTGTGGGGGAGGAGGGAGCACGGCCCTCCTCACGGTGTGGGCAGCAAGGCCCATGGCAGCACTCCGCCTCCCAGGGGCATCCTGCCTAATGGGATCGGACAGACCACTTTACCCTGGAGGACTTACAGGACCAAGAGAGAACGAGGCAAAAAGACTGGGCTGCGGGGAGGCCAGGGTTAGCACTCACTGAACCCTCACAAAACAGAAGGGCGGGGCCTGGGATCAGAGAGTGGGAAGGGGCTGAGCTCCCATACTCCTCACAGCCCGGGAACCCCAAGAAGCCCTGACCTGTCTGCATGTTCTTGGAATTGAAGGAGGAGGCTCTGAGGTAGCAGGAGGCAGCTCCTGTGCTCAGCGGAAATGGGCAAGGCAGGCAGACCGAGGGTCCCCAGGCTCTGCAGACCTCGTCCTGCTTCCCCTCTTCCTGCCCTTGCTCACTGGCTTCTCTGTCAGTTCGTGCCTCTCTGTTCACATCCCCCCGCCCTCTGGCTTGTGCCTGGCTCACACTCATCCTACACCCACGCCCTCGGCTGGGGGCTCCCTGTCCCATCCCTAGGCCCTTGGGGCCTCTCTGAGGAAGACTGCTCTCTGCACATCCCATTTCTACTCCCATTTGTTTAGATAATCACTTGCTTCGTGACTAGTCCACCCACCTGCTATTGTATGAGGGCAACAAAGAAAGCCACTTCCCGTCAGAACTTCCCTTCTCATAGTAATTAAAATCCCACCATTAAGACCCCTTCGTTCAGGGCAAGGCATTTACCTCCCCAGTCCCTCCGTCTCCCTCCTGTTCTCTTTCCCTCCTGCCTCTGTCCTCTCGCTGTCCCCTCACTTGCAGGCCATCTGAGGGCTGGGAGATGCTGAAAGGTGATGAGACAGCCTGCCTACCACTCTTTCAGGAAGAGAGGGACAGCACAGATGGCTGGCCTGCTGCCCCTCACCCCTACCCTTAGTCCCACAATATGCAGGGGCGGGGGCAGTGTTCAGATCGAGTGAGTACTGACCCCTGCTCTACTCAAATCTCCCTCCACCCACCCAGACAGCCCAGGCCTAGTTACCAGAGGGAGAGGGGTGCAGACCTTCAGTGACTCTCCAGAGGCCAGTTGGCCTCCAAGGTTTGGAGCTGGGAGTCTCCCCGCTTCCCCCAGTGGCCGGCCAGTCCCTCCCCAGACACCGGAGGCTCCAGCAGGAGGAGCTGGAACATCTGGGGGAACGTTTGGTGAGCTGAGCTGCTGGCAGCGCCTACTGAGCCAGCTGACGCCTGAGGGGGGTTGGGGTGAGGAGCCACATGTGAGGGGACTGGGAGGGAGCCGCAAAACCTGCCCGCCGGCCTCCAGCACAGTACCCCCCAGGCAGAACTGTTCCTGGAATCCACGTGAGGTTCTGAGAGAGCAAAGAGGCCAAGGTGGGCTCGGGCAGGGGAGCAGCAACGCTGAGGCTGCCTCGGCCTGCCTGAGAATGAGTAGAAGTCTGCATGAGATGCGCGTGGGTCTGTGAACTTGGACATGGCTTTCAGGCCCCTTAGTGTCCTTGTGGGATTTCAAATAGATAGGTGGGGGTGTGAGTTACTCTGGGGAAAACAGTGACGGGCATGCCCCCTCCCTTGTGCCCCAGCCTCAGGGTTGGGTGAGCTCCCTCTCAGAGAGGGTTGGGTGACAGCTGTCTCCTAGACAACAGCCTTCCTAGATGACCTGCAGGAACCAAGGTTCGATGACCTTCCGAATCTCCCCAGTTAACCAAAGGGGTGGGCTGGGCACAAGGACGCCTGGGCCCCTCAACCTGCTCCAGAGGCCTACTTGCTGTCCCCAGGGCTGTGCCCCTTGGGAGACAGAGGGTCCCAGGCCCAGGTGCTCCTCGGCTTGGCTCAGTGCTGCTTTGGGGACTGAGCAGAGGTGGGAGGGCAGGGCAGGGCAGGGCGAGCCACCCTGAGGCTGGGGAGGTGTCTGCCTTGCTACAGGCACTTTCAAAGTATTAAAGGTGAGGGGCAGAAACAACTCTTACCCCTGGGAAGAAAAATATGTTTTAAAAAAGCAAATTAGCTTATTTCCCGTAGGACTCCGCCACTTGAAGGGAGCCTGAGAGAGAACCCCACTTCCTCCCCTGACCCCAGCGCTCCAGCTGGGGTACCTCCCTCCTTGGCAGGCGGCTCAAACAGGGGCCAGCTCAGAGGCCATCTAAATACTCTTCCCAGAGAGGGCCCGATCCGCCCACGGTCCCACTTACCCAGCCCTCTGCTGGCCGGCAGCCAACGCAGGCTGTGAACTATGGGGGGCTGTGGGCCCACCCTCCATCCCGGCATCCTAGTCAGCCAGGCTCTCCTTCCCACCCAGTCTTCTCCATTCACCAGTCAAAACAGCTCCATTCATTCCCCTCCTCCCTTCCCCTCCTTTTACTTACTGATGCTTTTTTGTCTAGCTCATTTCCCAAAATAATCTGAAGTGTTTCTCTCCTACACCTGAAACATTTTATTGAATTCACTGTGTGCCAGGTTCTTGGACAGTTGCTCATTACGTATTTACACAGGGCACTTCACTTCATCCTGGTTCTACTAAGAAAGAACTGGGCTAGCCCAGCAGTTTTCAACCATGAGCCGTGAGAATTTTTACAACATGCAGTACCTATTTCGTCAGGGGAACTGACCTTTCTTCCGTTAGGAGGTCCCCAGCCTTTTGGCACCAGGGACCGGATTTGTGGAAGACAATTTTTCCATGGACCAGAGGGCTGGGGAGGTGGAGGGAACAGGAGGCGGAGCTCAGGTGGTGATGTGAGGGGCGATCGGCGCCTGCTGTGCAGCCCCACCGGGGGCCGGTGCCAGTCCACAGCCCCAGGGGTGGGGACCTGTGCCTTAGACTGTCAAATAAATGACAACTAACACAACACCCACTTGGTGTGAGTCAGAATTACACCTTTTTTGTCAGATCAGCAAAAAATATATACATATACATATATACGTTTTAAAGATTTTATTTTAGAGAGAGGGAAGGGAGGAAGAGAGGAAGAGAAACACTGACTGGTTGCCTCTCACACGCCCCCACCCAGGGAGGGACCTGGCCTGCACACGCTCTTTTCACCTTTTGATTTGAGGGACACCCAACCCACTGAGTCACATGTCAGGGTGGCAACAAAATATAGTTTTTGGTGTGCTGCTTAAGTTTTAGTGATCAGTTTATGTGTGCCATCAAGAGGAAAAGGTTGAAAATTGCTGGACTAGTCAATGGGTTTTTTTGCCAAATGGCAGAACTAGAGTTTTAGCTCTGCCTCCTGCCCCCTGGACCACTGTCCACACTGCCCCCTGATGGCCGGGCTGAGGACTTCAGGGGAAATAGTTTCCTCCCTTCAGTATTGGCTGAAAGACCGTCTTGGTGGCTGGCGTCTAATGTACCTATGAACAGCTGCCTTGGTGCTTCCTGGATGGGGAGGGCTTCCTATCCCTAAGTCCCCAAAGATGCTTCCAAGTTTTGTTCAGCTCAAAACCTTGGGGCGAGGGGTAAGAGACTGCTGGAAATTACCCCAGCTTTCAGGGATCCTGGAGGGCTGAGTATGAGCGTGAGACACCCTAGAGGCTGTGCACTGCCCCAATCCAGCTCCCTGCTCACTCAGTGGCCCAAGGGAAGAGGGGTGGGAGGCTGGGGGTCATGTCTAGGACACGGGAGCATGAAGGGCAGAGCACAGGTTTTATGAGACCATCCACCATGGAAGCCACCCTCCTCCAGTTGCAGAGAGGAAGGGCCTTGCCTGGCACTCAGGCCTTTGCCTGTCCCCTCCCCACTAGCCCTTTATTATTTCTTAAAGATTTTTATTTACATATTTTTAGAGAGGGGGAAGGAGAGAGGAAAACATCAATGTGTGGTTGCCTCTTGAGCATCCCCTATTGGGGACGTGGCCTGCAACTCAGGCATGTGCCCCGACTTGGAACTGAACCAGTGACCCTTTGGTTCACAGTCCAGCACTCAATCCACTGAGCCACACCA